TCGCTTGAGCCCAGGAGTTTGAGGTTGCTGTGAGCCAGGATGATGCCACGGCACTCTAGCCCGGGCAACACAGTGAGACTCTGTCTCAAAAAAAAAAAAAGAATGGTGTTTCAGAAATATTTATATATTGACATGAAAAGATGTTAATTGTAATCTTAGTGGAACATTCTGTTAGAATGTGTGTGAAGAACCCATTTTTGTTATACATATACAGACAAAATATCTGGATGGATTTATAGCAAGTTATTAACTCTGATTATTTCTGGGAGGATGACATCAACATTCTTTTTGTCTTGTTTTGTTTTTGTTTGTTTTTAGAAAAAAAGAACAAAAAACATACGTGTTGAAAATATCCAAATTATACTAGATAATACTCTTTTTTTGAGACAAAGTCTCCCTCTGTTGCCCAGCCTGGGGTATGGTGGCATCATCTTACCTCACTGCAACCTCAAACTCCTGGGCTCAACCGATCCTCCTGCCTCATTCTCCCAAGTAGCTGGGACTACAGGTGCTCACCATGACTCCTGGCTGATTTTTCTGTTTGACAGAGATGGGGTCTTGCTCTTGCTCAGGATGGTCTTGAACTCCTGTGCTCAAGCAGTCCTCCCACCTTGGCCCCCCAGAGTGCAAGGATTACAGGCGTGAGCCACTGTGCCTGCCCAAAATAATACATTTTTAATGAAGAACTCTGTTTATGGAAAAGAAATAAAACAAGCAACCATCATCTTCTATAATAATATTCTTCTATGTTGAAGGTTCATGGTTTTCATGGCTTTTTCTTATGATTTGCATATCCTTCTTAGCACATAAAACTCCACAAAGGCAAGAAAAAATTTTAGCACTCTTTATTTATGTATTAGGCATATGCTAAACATTTTAAGTATCTCAGAGATGAGGCATGTATTATTATTTTTGAATATAGCTCTATACTGTTTACAATGGTATAGTCTTAAAGTGAATTTTAAGTGGAAATTTGCTTGAACACTAATGATAGGGAGAGAGCATACTTAGTAACATGGCTTATTGGTCTCCTTTAACTTACTGTGTTGCTACTATTAAATATTTTTTCCCTTATTCCAACAAGATTTTTTTTCTTTATTTTTAATGTAATTTTGAGACTCACTGAGTAAAGCTTTTCTATGGAATTAGAATAGTGTTGTCACAATTTCATGATTGTCATGGCATGTTGCTGTGACAAACATCACACACACTGTCGTGAAATCATAGTACTTTTGATCTGGGAAGGACCTTAAAATTGATGTAGCGCAGCCTCTTCATTTTCTGACACGGACAGATTGCTTTTAGCCTGCATGACATGGGAGCGTGGTTGCAGACTGATCTAATAGGTTGTTTTTAGCCTAAGGTTCCGTGATTCAAGGTCAATTTCACATGCTCTTTCGTGCTTTTACAATTTTTTTCAGTG